TTCTCTCTCACATATCTATCTATCTATTTATCTATCTATCTCTCCCTCCTTCTCTCCCTCCCCCCATCCATTCTCCCTTCTTCTCTAAAATCAATTTTAAAAAATTAAAAAAGAAATAAAAGCATTTCCTTAGCAAAATTAAATAAAAAGGATTAATAATAACACCTACCCTACATGATTGTGAATTAATGGTTGTGTAGGTATCTTGCAAACTATACGGTATTATGCATTTATTGCTGCTACTATTATTTTTAGTATTACTCAGCTCCTGGCCTCAGGTAGCTTCCAGTCTACTAGTGGTGTGATGTTTATGCTCAGGTATTTAAAAAAGAGAGAGAGAAGCAAAGTGATGTGGCCAGAAAGATCCTGAAATAGAAGTTAGACACTCTGGGGCAGACTACTGTATCTGCACCTTATCAGCTGTGCCACCTGGGCCAAGTCACTTGACCTCTCTGAGCCTCAGGTTTGCCGACCTGTGAAATGAAGGGTTGAACTGTTTGACAATATTAATTTAGTGAGAAAATATATCAATTTTTTTCTAAGTGTAATGAATAAAATGTCAAAATGGTTGAATTTTCTCTTCTAACATAGACAAAGTCAGGCCATACCTCTTGTTTGAAAATTCCCCTCCTCCCCCAAGAAGTCCCAATTGTGGGTTTCTGTGTTGATGTAGAGTCAATATAGTCAGTAAAGTCCCAAGGAAATGGCAAAACACATGCTCAGATTGGGTTTTTGTATTCGTATTTTATAAACATTTCAGGATTTTTTCTTACCTTTAACCTTTTGTCATTCTTAAAGTGATCTTATATCCTGGAAACTTAGTTAGAAACAGCCTCGGGGTCATCTCATCCAACTTCTTTCTGTGTGGCTCCTGTTCTTAGCAACACCTCTGGCAGAATAGTCTGATAGTTAAACATGTATTTCAAAGCTAGATTGCCTTGGTTCACATCTGGCTCTGCTCTTAATAACTTTGAGACCTTGGGCGAGTTACTTAGTCTGTTCCTTGGCTCAGTTTCTTCATCTGTAAAATGAGAATAATAATAGTACTGATCTCAGATAACCTACCCCAGAGGGTTATTATGAAAAACAAATTATTTTTAAAATGTAAAGTGCTTGGAATATGCAGGGAACAAAGTAAATGCTCAGTAAATGTTAGCTGTTATTATTATCACCACCACCATCATCATCATCATCATCATCATCATCATGTTCTTCAAATAAGCCTCTATTTGAATGCTTCTAGGGCAGGAGTGGGCAAACTTTTTGACTCGAGGGCCACAATGGGTTCTTAAACTGGACTGGAGGGCCGGGACAAAAGCATGGATGGAGTGTTTGTGTGAACTAATATAAATTCAAAGTAAACATCATTACATAAAAGGGTACGGTCTTTTTTTTTTTTTAGTTTTATTCATTTCAAACGGGCCGGATCCAGCCCGCGGGCCGTAGTTTGCCCACGGCTGTTCTAGGGACACTAGAGAGTAGGCTCACTCTACCCTCCCAACCCCTCCATCACCCAAGGCAGCCTGTTGGCAATGTTGGCCAGGTGCTTTTGGTTATTGTGCTTGTTGGAGTCAGATAGACTTGAGTTTGAAACTTTATTCTATTTGCAGCCTTGGTCGAGATAAGCCATGGTATCTTCTGTAAAATGGCAATAAACTACTTCACTGGGTGTTCTGAGGACTACTTATGGTACTATATACAAAGTAGTTAGCATGGTTCCAGCTACATGTAGGCATTCAATAACTGATAGTTGCTGCAATGATGATGATGAAGAAGAAGAACAAGAAGAAAATAAAGGACGGAAGGAAGAAAAAAAGGTAAAAGAAAGAGAAGCAGAAGTAGCCACACCAGCAGCTACAGCTCTGCTAAGCTCTTTCTGACCAGCTGAGTTCTGTTTCTTTGCTGTTTTACCTCACTGATCCCAGCTCTGCCCACTGGAGCTGCACAGCACTTTCTGATAAGTAGTTCTACTTAATCAGTCCTCAGATATTCAAAGGGCTGACAGGGCCCCTGCCTGCCCTGGGGCACACAGGCAGCACTTCCCAGTGCCCCTCCAGGGAGACATCTCCCGCTCTGCAGCTGTTTCTTGGAGAACAAACGTGGTGTTTAGACTGTCCTGCTAGGCTCTGTCCCTCCTGGCGTGCTCCACCTCTTCTTGAATGGGCCCAGAGCATGGCAGTGTGGTTTCACAGCATGGCCGCTGTTGTGCTGGAATGAAGCAGGGGACCTACATCCCCTAGGTCTACACCAGTCAAATGAGAGTGAAAACAGACTGTCCTGTTCACTTTGAAACTCCTCTCTGAAATGACCTTCAGAAAAAAAAATTGCTTATGATCTGGGGCACTAGATCGCTCAGCCCCAGCACAACCATGTTTGCTGTGAAGCAGTCCATTGTGGCCCAGCCCCACCACAGCTATAAAAGGCGGTCTCCAGATGTTGAGGCATTGCCCTATCAAGGAAAAGGGAGCACTTATGCTGGGCACTGGGTAGAAATAAGAATGGCGGGCAGGTGCAGACTGAGCTCCAGGAAGTTTTGGAGGAAAAGCTCCAACACTGAGGTCAGACAGACCAGGTCCTTTACCCAAGGCAGCGCTCCAGCTAGTGATGGCTGCCACCCTCTGAGCACTTCCTGGCTCGGGCACTGTGCCAACGGCCTCACCAGCATTCTTCTAGTTAGCTGTCACAACAGCCTCTAAAGGAGAAACCGATTATTCCCATCATACAGGTGAGAAAACTGAGACTCTCTGGTTGTGTAACTTCTTCAAAGTCATATAGGTAGTAAGTGACAGCTGGGATTTGAATCTAAGTCTGCCTCACTCTTTTTAACCATTGTGCAATATACACAAGGCCTTAAATAAGTGCCAACCCTTCTGAGCCTTAATTCTGTCATTTTCACCTACCATGCATAGTTGGTCTAGGGATTAAATGGGATGACATATTTACAGTGTCTGGTATGTAGTAGATGTTCAAGAAATTTTAGTTTCCCCTCCTTATGTCCCACCTTTCCCACTTAAAGTGACAGGGAAAATCACTTAACGTTTTCTGGACACAGTTTTCTCATGTAAAAACTGGGTGCGTTTTCTGAACCTCTGACCTTGCATGTTGACAAGCCAGGCAGGGTTCGGCTTGGGCCGGAGGCTCCAGCCTCCCAGCCTCTTTTGCTTTGCAGCAGATCTTTCTGGCAGCATGCACAGCTCTGGCACGGTTATGATTATGGTTTCTCCCAGCAAACATTATATTTACAAACCACAAATAACAAAGTAGAAGGTGCCGGAAGAGCTCTGGCATGTTAATTAAGAACAATAGCGGAAGCAGCTGGGCAGAAAATGCCAGTGAGTCGGAAGCAGCAGCAGCACAGCTCTGCTTGTTGACAGAAGCCAGGACGGTGTTGTACATTAATTGGGGAAGTGGGTAAACATTTGCCAGCAGCTTGCCCCCAGTGCATTGGAAGACGGACAGCAGGCTGGGCCCTCCCCACCACCTTGCCTGCTCATGTGCCCAGAGCCCCAGAGATACCAATAGAGCAGCTTTGCTCTAGGTTCCTTATAAGCAGAGAGGATTCTATAGGCAATGTGTCTCCTTAATGACCCTCCTGGGCATACCAGGTTTCTGCCGGATACAGTTGAACATAGTGTTCCTCCTTCAGCTCACCAGCCTGCCTATGACACTCTGCCTCCAGGACCCCCACCCCTACCCCACCCCCAGTGGGCTAGGAGAAGACAGGGGAGCCATCTTATTGGATGTGGCTTGAACTGAGCAGAGAACATGATTGCCTGCCTGGGGTGCTGCAGTCTCTGCCCACAGGCCCAGAGCTTCTGTGTCTGACAGCACATTGCCCAGCCTCTCATCACGCACAGGATGGACGCAGATAAAGCTGCCCAGCTACCTGTATCCATCCTCACAGTTGCTCACACACACCGCAGCCATCACTGAGACCGGCTCTCGGCCGGACACTCTGCTAATTATATATTTTTTCTCATTTAATCCTCACATCAGTCCTACATGATTGATACTAACTCCAAAGCCACAAAGCTAATAGCCAAAACAGCTGTGATTTAAACCAGAATCTTTCTGGTTCCAAAACCCATTGTCCTTTCCACTAAACCAGTATTTCTCAGCATTTTAAAATTTATGATCTCTTTCGTTAAACAGGAAATTTTTGTTTTTCTTTCCCATTCAGAAAACATCCACGTCCCATCCCTGCCCCCAGCCTAGGAGGTTAGGAGCCTAACTTAGGATCCCTGTATGATTAGCATATCCCAGCTGAGCCAAGAGGATTTTGTCCAGCTCTATTCTCTATGGTTCACATTATAAAATAATGTTTTTTTATGTTCTGTAACATAGTCACATTATGACATTGACTTATTTCTTCACACACACACACACACACACCCAACAGGGAGATTGTGTTATGCCTTCCTAAGGAGCCTCTCCTCGAAGGGGAGATACTCCTCTGTGGGCGTGGTGGGGTGGGTGTCTGCAGTTTATCACAGGAGGTTTAGCAGCCAGATGAGCCGCAAAAGCTTAGCTCCTTCCCAGGGCGCAGAAAAGGCCTCCCTGCTGTCAGGAGTTAACCAGGGAGAGGGCCCAGAAATGCCATCAGTCGTTTCACCAGCATCCTTTCCTCAGGGCCTCCTGTTCTGTTGGCCACGCTGAGCTGTGGCAAGGACCCCCCACCTGCCCAGGAAGAGGTCCAGTCTCCTGAACCTGTGGCTTGAGGTCAGGTGCTAGTTCATCCACTGAACTGTGAGACTTGACCTCTCTAAGCCCTAGTTTCCTCGATTATAAACTGGGAATAACACCTACCTCCAGGGCTGTGTTGAGGATCAAATAAGAGAACAGTTATATTGCAAATCTTGCGTGAATTTTGGGACACCCTATACAAATGCTCATGTCAGGATGTAGCAGGCTCACAATCAATGTGCGTTCAGGACCTGAGTGCCATGTGGAGAAAACCGTGCTTTTCCAGTCTTTTGAATATATGCTTTTTTTCTTTTCAGATAACCCAGCTGGACCCAAATAAATCATTGTTGGAGGTAAAGTTGTTCCCTCAAGAAACCCTTTTTCTTGAAGCAAAGGAGTAAACACGCCCAGCGGTGGAACCAGCCATTCCTTGACTTGCCTGAGGCCTGCGTCAAGAGAAGGGCTCTTTGCCAACCCACCTACACGCTCGTCTCATTGAATTCAGTGTCACACTCTGCCTCTTGCAAGATTGCTGGAAAAAAGTAATAATAAACATAGCTACTTAACACGTCCCATCCACGAGTATATGTTCCCAACCCAGAGTGACAGCTGTGCTGCCCCCCCTCTTCCCTTCACTTGGCCCGGTCAGTGACAGTGCACTGTCCCCGTGTGCGTGACCACAGAACAGGACCGATGCCTCTCCAGGGCCCTCTGCCCCCAGTGTCCAGACAGCTCTGTCTGTCCAGGGACACCAGGGCGCTGTGTGTCGGATATGTCTCATTGAGCCGGATATGTCTCAAGGCTCACACACCTGCCTTGTTATTGTCATAACTGGATTTCTACTTTGTCGCCTAATTTTAAGAGGCAAGGGGAGGAAGTCAAGTGGAACTTCTTGGCCTGGAGATAGAACAGTATTGTAGGGGAAAACGCATATCGTTTCTGATGGTACTTTCTGACCTTTACTAAGAAGTAAGGTTGTGTTTGAGGGCTGCATTTGAGGAATACGCAAGGTATTTATTTACTGCTGCTGCCGTGGGCCCCCATGTTCCGTTTGGAGGTGTTTGCTGTTCCACTGCAGCATGGGAAGCTGTCTGAGCACAGTGTGGGTGTTGAGGTATGTGAAGAGGACCGGTTCCAGGACTTGGGTCCTGGCCCAGCCGCAGGAAGCTGCTGTTAGGTTTGCATTTGGAGCCTGACGGATCCCAGCTCCAAGGCTGCCCCTTTAGTGTACGGTGAACGCAGTTCCCTCCTGCTTTTCTCTCCCTCTTTCCTTCTCTAGTTTGGCCTTGTCACTTGGTGTGTTAAGCCCTTTGTCTGTCACCAAAATCTGATCAGCTGCCCCTTGGACTCAGCCAAGATGTAATAAGGAATTTGTTCCACTTTTTATTATTTGAGTGTTTCAATATTAGATATTGGGCTCCTGTCTCAAATGAAAAGGATCTCATCTGGTGGCTGAGAATTCTGATGTCATATATTTAAAGAGCAGACTTGGGGGCTCAGCTCAGAAGATGTGTGTTGCCTGAACCCACGTGTGGTGATTTCGGGATGATTTAGTATATGTGGACTTTCGTTAATCTATGGATTTGGGGGTTAGAGTCCAGTTCACTGTTTATACCTTCACCAACAGTGATTTCTTTTCCATCTTGGAATGTTTCTATCCGTTTATGTGTCCCCTGTGGTCTCTATCCTAGGGGTTGGTATCCTCACTTGACATCGTGTACGTGTCCAGAAGAGAGTCTGAGTGCTGGGTTTTTCTCCCTGACCCAAGCCAAGGGGTTGTCAGGAGACTAACCGAAGCCTGAGAAATGCCTGGTCATTCTCCCTCTGCCCAGAGCCCAGAAATGGGCATTGGCCAGGAAAATTCCATCTCTGTCTTTTCTCTGATGCTCCAACCAGGGACCTCCCCTGATCACTCTCTTAAAAAGAGATGTGTTCCTAACAGACGAGTGCTGCGTCTGCCGAGGGCAGGCCTCCTCTGACCCCAGAGGTCTCTCGGGGAAGCTGAAGGGAAGAGACCCACAGGGGATTCAGCCTGAGCACGTGTCTCCGGCTCCACTCCACCCTCTTAGCCTCGTGGCCCCAGCTACAGGTGCACTAGGGCGCCAGCTCTTTTCCATGTAGACCTTGCTCTGTAGCGGCCATGGAGAAGCTACAGCCCTGAACTCGGGCCAAACTCAGGAACAGCAGCAAGGGTAGGGGTGGGGGGGTGGGGGTACAGGACTCTGAATTCACTTTCATGTTTAACCTGTTCCGTCTGATTGGGTTTGACAACATCATATTGTTCCCCACTGTCATCTTCACTTCTGTATTCCAATAATTATAGACTTTACTCTGAAACTGATTTTGTGAAAGTTATTAAATGCTACTTGAATGTGTATGGAGTTTACACACCCTTTTTCAACCCTGTCTTGGAAGGTGTTCCTTGCTCAGTCCCACGGAATCCTTTCCTCTGGGCCCCACTGCAGGGAAAGGCCTCCGCTGATTCTCACTGTTCACTCATGTCATTCTGGTCTACTGAGCTCCAGAACAGAGGCCGAAGCAGTTTTATGTCTTTTCTCGCAAACACAGCATTACAATGACTACAGAAACATGAAGTGACCTGCTGTCACCACAGAAATGGCACTGTCCTTGGCAGCTCTTCCTCCTACCCTTAAACTTCCCTGGGCTTCCCCTCCCGGCCTCCAGACACAAAGGCGGCCAACATCTGTGCTTGGTGTTCTTTTCTTTCTTTCTTTCTTTTTCAAAACAATTGGAAAACATTTATTATACTGAAATGTATACATCCTACTATTAAAAAAACAAAGTAGCAAATTTGCTGGTGCCATAATTTAACTTGTCTCACTGGGACTAATGCTCAGTACTACTTGGTATGATTTTAAGTTTGATGAGCTTTTAGCTTTTTTACTCCACTTCTAAAACCCTCTGAGAAATTCAAAATATCACACAGCACTGAGTGGCATTTATCGTTCCATAAATCTTGAGACTCAAAAATGTGCTTGGTGTTCTTAAGCCCAGCTGTTTACAGTGATGGTCCAGGGTTCCTCGCCATCTCCACCCCATTCTAGTTCACTCCTCTGGGTTTCTTGGAGTGTCAGCTATACATCTAGAGCATTAGTTTGAAGGTTTAGGGAGTTAATGCCAATTTCCCACCTCCTCTCTGGAGGTGCATTCTGGGGGAGGTTTCTGGCCTGTGATGTTACCTGCTCTGGCACTGCTGGTTTATTGATCACACAGGTGTTCTTCTCTGAAGTATAAGCATCCAAACTCTGAGTTGGAGGAGAGCATCTTTTATACTATAAAACAGTGGTTCTCAACCCTGGCTGCACATTAGAATCACCTGGGAATCTTTTTAAAATCCTGATTTCTGGGCCTCATCCTCTGGAAATTCTGTTTCTTTGTTACTAATGTTGTGGCCCCAACCCATAACAAAGACACAGAATTTCCGGAGGATGAGGCCCAGAAATCAGGAATAGATAGATATAGATATAGATAGATATAGATATAGATTGATTTCCGAGAGAAGGGGAGAGAGAAAAACAACAATGATGAGAATCATTGATTGGCTGCCTCCAGCAGGTCCCCTACTGAAGATTGAGCCTGCAACCCAGGCATGTGCCCTTGGCCGGAATCGAACATGGGACCCTTCAGTCCGCAGGCCAATGCTCTATCCACTGAGCCAAGCCAGCTAGGGCCAGAAATCAGGATTTTAAAAAGATTCCCAGGTGATTCTAATGTGCAGCCAAGGTTGAGAACCACTCCTATAGAAGAATAGAACTTGGGCTTTTACAGATTTTGCTTGGTGATATTAGAAACACAAGTTTGCAGTGTCTTTAAAATTGCTACTCCCAAAGCCAGACTTGCCGGCCTGAGTGCTGGTCCATGGGATGGATCTTAAAAGATGTTGCAGCCGAAACCGGTTTGGCTCAGTGGATAGAGCGTCAGCCTGCGGACTGAAGGGTCCCGGGTTCGATTCCGGTCAAGGGCATGTACCTTGGTTGCGGGCATATCCCCAGTGGGAAATGTGCAGGAGGCAGCTGATCGATGTTTCTCTCTCATCGATATTTCTAACTCTCTACCCCTCTCCCTTCCTCTCTGTAAAAAATCAATAAAATATATTTTAAAAAAAAAGATGTTGCAGAATTCTGGCAGGTTTCCCAAAAGCAGAGGAGATGTTCATTTGGACACGGGAGAGGGCCTTAAATGTCCCCAGGAGCAGCATCACCCATTGGCACTCTTCTACCAGCTTCTCACTACCCAGTCCTGGGTCCCACAGGGAATGGGATATGGAATCGTAAGTCCAGCCCAGGCATAACTCACATGAGCCTGTCACATGCCTTGTCTCATTTGATTCTTTATAACGTTCTGGCTGGAGACCACACACACTCCAGAGATTCAGTGTCTTCCAGTTTGAGCCTTGGTTCTGCCATTTAATAGCTATGTCACCTTCAGGTGAGTAACCTCTCTAAACCTCAGCGTCCTGGTAACATCAGATAGCACTCTGCAGCTCCCACTCCTTCCACCCGGCACAGTCCCCCGCACTGAGGAAGCAGGGCAGATGATCACCCCATTTCTGCACGTGGCCGCCTAATGTCACACAGAATGTCAGCAGAAGAGTCAGGACTCAGGCCCTGGGCTCTGGTGCTCAGGTGCACAGCTCTTCCATGAAGAACTAATGAATTTCATGTCCAAGAAATTGTAGGACTCCCCTGCGATTGGGTACAAAAAGTTGTGTGCACTTGTCCGGAAGGGGAATCTGTAGTCATCAGGTCCTCACTGGGCTCCATCGATGCCAGAAACGTAAGAACCACCATTTACATCATGCAGACACCGGGCCGTTTGCAAAGTTGAATCTGTCCATTCTTCTCACCAGCCATATTTTTATCTAAAGGAGAGCCACAACCCAGAGAAGGTGAGATGCGGCAAGTAGGCTTTCGTGCCCGGACTTCCCTCTGCATTTAGTGCTTCTCGTCTCAAATAATCTGCTTTGGTCAGACAGCTCCTCCTTGCTGTGTTTTGAAAGGTTGGTCTGAAAGAAAATACCAATAAAAGACATGCTCTCCAGTCTCCAGTCTGTTCACTCTTAATCTGTACGCTGTTGTGGTTCTCAGTGTGGTTCAGAGAACAGCCTCTGGTGCCCTGTTGCCTGGGTCCAAGCTCCTCCACTTACTAGCAGTGTGCCTGTGGAGTCACATCACCTTCCTGTGCCTCAGCTGTTTAGCGATAAAATGGAGATAACAATGAAGATTAAACAAACCAACAGATAACATGTAAAATAGAACAGCTATTACCTGGTCTGCAAACTCATCCTACATAATAAAAGGCTAATATGAAAATTGACCAAAAAGCAGAACAACCAGTTGCTATGTCACGCACCGACCACCAGGAGGTAGATGCTCCATGCAGGAGCTGCCACCTGGTGGTCAGTGTGCTCCCACAGTGGGAGTGCTGCTCAGCCAGAAGCCCTGAGCCAGGCTCACGGCTGGCGAGAGCAGTGGAGGTGGCGCGAACCTCTCCCACCTCTGCGGAACTAAGGATGTCTGACTGCCAGCTTAGGCCCACTCCGAGCCGGCCTAAGCTGGCAGTCAGACATTCCCCAAGGGCTCCTGGACTGCAAGAGGGCGCAGGCCAGGCTGAGGTACCTCTCCACCCCTGAGTGCATGAGTCTCTTGCACCAGGCCTCTAGTAGGATTATAAAAGGAAAATGTGATGATAGCAATGAGAAGTAGCAGCTTATGGGCAGAGACAGAAAAGGTGAAAAGCAGACCTGTGATGCCCAGGAGCACTGCTCCAGAGCCCTTCAGGGGAGGTCCAAGTCCTGCCCCCAGTGCCACTGTTACTGTTACGGACAAGCCCAGTGTCATGGTAGGGAGGGAGGAGGAGGACTAACTTCCTGAGCACTTAGGCTGTGCCCAGGACTGTGCTGGGAACATTACATACATTATCTCCTATAACAGTGGTTCTCAACCTTGGCTGCACATTAGAATCACCTGGGAATCTTTTTAAAATCCTGATTTCTGGGCCTCATCCTCCGGAAATTCTGTGTCTTTGTTATGGGGTGGGGCCACAACATTAGTAACAAACAATTTCCGGAGGATGAGGCCCAGAAATCAGGATCTTAAAAAGATTCCCAGGTGATTCTAATGTGCAGCCAAGGCTGAGAACCACTGTCCTGTAACCCACAACAGCCCTGCCGGTGGGTGATCTTGATCCCATTTTGAAGAAGCTTGGAGAGGGGAAGGGGCCTGCGGAGCCCCACTGCTAGTGAAGAGCAGAGCAGAGCGTGGGCCAGGCCTGACTCCAGAGCTGCTGTGTTTGTGATGATGCAGTGGCACCTTCGAGGCAAGTGTGTCTATTACCAAGGCATTTCAAATAACAATTACAATAATACAACGTCTTAAGAATGCTGGTGGGTGCAAAAAAAGGGAAAGCCACATCTTTTTGTAGAAAACTCGGCTCTCCAAAGTGACTCATCCCCAGTGTGTCCGGAGCTGGAATTTCAGCAGTACCTTTTTTAAGCACATGCCATGGTTGAGGAAGGATCCCGTAGCCTCTAGCTGTGACATCTGCAAAATCTGTTGTCCTACTGACATGCCTTCCCTTCAACCCTTATTGTCTCCCCACCTAAGTCAGTGGTCGGCAAACTCATCAGTCAACAGAGCCAAATATCAACAGTACAACGACTGAAATTTCTTTTGAGAGCCAAATTTTTTAAACTTAAACTATATAGGTAGGTACATTGTTATTAACTTAATTAGGGTACTCCTAAGCTGGCCTTTGCTAAAAACATCCTCAATCTGAGGGGTCGACCTCAGTGAACGTACCCCCACTTCTAACGCCACTTCAAAATAGACTCGCCCAGGCTGAAAACCGACTTCTGCACATGGGCCACGAAGTTTCCATCGCACTGTACGTGCGCGCCCACACGTGGTATTTTGTGGAAGAGCCACACTCAAGGGGCCAAAGAGCTGCAAAGCACTGCCTCACCACGCCCACAGCCCTGCTCCAGCCCTTCAAGGCTCCCCCTTGCCCTTCAGATAAAACCCAAACTCTTGGCTTAGATTTAAAACTCCTGTCCCTCCCTCCCCATCTGTATCACTAACCATGTCCTCAACACCACACATCCATACTGTCTGAGATTTCCCACAAGCATTCACTCTGTCACCTCTGGCCTTGCACGCTACTCCCTTTGCCCCGAGGACTCTTCCATCACAACTAGACGCCACCACTCACTCATTCTTCATGTTCCTTTACTCTGCTCCCTCCAGGATGGCGCTCCCCACCATTGCCACACCCTCCAAGGTGGGTGGCTGTGCTGTGACTCTCAGCCCTGGGCTGCC